GGTTTAGAGTCTGCTCTGGCATGGGTTGAGGTTAGGGTCAGCACTGGCACAGGTGGAGGAGTCCATGTGTGTCCCCTCCCAGCAGCGGATGGGTCAGGGCGCAGCGGCTGAGTCAGGGCTCAGCGCCCGGTACCGCTGATGTCTCCCTGGCGCAGGTGGCTCTGTGTGTGTTCAGGATGGTGGGGACAGCAGCGTGGGGGTTATAACTTCAATAGCGTGGTGGGAGTCTGTGACACCCAAACTGAGCCTGCCCACCACCCCTGGCACCCACACACGGCCCCTGAACATACAGACTGATCCATCCAGCACAGCCTCCATGCACACACTTGAACTGCCCCTACACGCACTGCCATCTAACACAGTCCCTACACATATACCATCCTTGCATACACATACACTGCCCCTATAGACCCACTGCCATCCGACACAGCCCCTGTGCACGCATTTTCTCTGCACACACACCCTGTCAACCAACATGGCCCCTAAACACACAGCTATTCATCCATGCTGCCCCACTGCACCTACTGTGCTCATTCCCTCAGCGCACCCTAAACTGGCAAACACCAAAGTGTGTGCCCTCTTCACCCGTTGCACCCCAAACTACAGACACATCCCTTTGCATACAGACCCCAGAGCTCCCCTGCCCCAGCCCTCTCTCCTGTGCTGGCCCTAGTGCTGCAGGGGCACCGGGTGACCCTGGCTTGTGGGAAGGGGGACATTCGACAGAGCCTCGGGGAACAGCGCCAGGCACTGATGCAAGCCCTGGCCTACAGCAGCAGGAGCCCACAGCCAGGGAAGGAAGTCACGCAGGGCTGCAGTGGCCTGTGTCAAGCCCCGCATGCCCCAAATGATGAAGGTGAGGAAGGCAAGAAGGATGATGAGGAAGATGAAGAGGGTGAGGAGGGTGAGGGGGTCTGTGGTGTTTTCAGTAGGTTTGGGAGGTGGTGCAGGCAGGCAGGCAGGGGACAGTTCACACCCATGTTTCCTTCATAGCTGATGGTTCTTATCATTTGTGTTTAGGGGAGATTAGCTTGAGCTGGCACCATTTCAGAGCAGGGAAGGAGGGGAGGACGGCGGAGCTAATTTTCTGAGAAGCGAAGCCCAGGGAAACAGCAGCAGGGCAGTGTGTCTGCTGCCTGAGCATGCATCAGGGGGCAAACTGCACAGGCAGAAGAGCCCTTCAAACTGGTGGCACAAGAATAAATGTGTGTAAATGCACATGAAGTCACTGGGATGTGTCTGAAAATAGAGGAAAAGCGCTATGGGTTCATGAGTGCATTTGTGGGAGCAGGGGACAGCATAGCCCAGGGACTCCCTGTCCTGTGTTTTTGTGCAGGTAGAGTCCCTGCACGCCCAGCGCCCGGCTGCTGCCTGCACTCGGCCACTGCAGGCACCGCTTTCTTGATGCATCTTCTCCCACCTCTCATAAATGCTCATCTCCTCTCTCTGATGTCACAGTACAGAGCAGATCCAGGGCTGGCTTAGTATCTTATAATTCATCACCTGTGATCTAAAGACAATGATTCTTTTTAAATTCAGGCTCCAGAACCCTGAAAGCAGTGGGCCTGTGCTGGCATTCAGCTCTGCCCATCCCACTCCCAAACTGCTCAGGTGCCAGGGGAAGAGCAGACACCTGGGGCAGGTGTGGGGCACTTCCCTGGCAGTTGATGGGGATTTGTGGCTCAGAGGCTTGAGCTCAAGAACAGTGTTTGTGTTTAATGGTCTGTGATGGATTTTTTTTCAGTCCATGAACTTGTCTGATTGCCTGTGGAGTTTGTGCAGGCACTTAGTATCCCCAATAAATTACTAAACAGCCATTGTGATAGATGGAGCCAGGAGAGAGTAATACTTCCTACCCGAAGAATATTTCAAGGGGATGCAAGAACCACATTTGTCTTGGCGCATCCTTCCCCCCGCACTCCCCAGAGGGATGCAGGCACAGTGAGACAACAGGCTGAGCTCCATTCCCCAGGCCCTGCCACCAGCATTGGCCACATCTCAAGCTGGGGCAGTGTGGAAACAGGCAGGGCCCTGCAGGGCACCCAGGGAGCCCATGATTTCCCACAGCTGGCCTTCCCAGCCAGTCCCTCTCTTCCTCCTTCCTTCCAATGGGAAAACCACAACACCCCATCCCACCCTAGTCCCTGGCGCCGGCACAGACAGACACGGTGCTGCGGCAAAGGAGTCTTTATTAATGCCACCAGGGCGTGGGCAGTAGCTCATCTGTACTTCTCAGCCAGCACGGCGGCCACGGCGGACAGGAACTTGTCGAAGGCAGAGTGCACCTCGGGGGTGTATTCCTTGCCCAGGTTCACAGCTAGCACCACCTGGATGCACTGCGCCAGAAGCTGCAAGGCAAAACAGGACTCAGCACCGCCACTGCGGCCCCTGGCCCCCTTCCAGGTCCTCATTCCCCCCTCCCCGTGCCTCATCCCCCATTCCCCGTCCCCCGCCTGCCTTGAAGTTGACGGGGTCGACGCGCAGGTTGTAGGCATGCAGGTTGCTGAGCTCAGACAGGGCCTGGCTAAGGTTGTCCAGGTTCTTGACGGCATTGGTCAGGGCAGCCACCACCTTCTTGCCATGTGCCTTGACCTGCTCGGAGCCTGGGCCCACATCAAAGTGGGGGAAGTAGGTCTTGGTCTGGGGGTAGGCCACGAACATCCTGCCGGGGAGGGACAGTCAGTGCTGCTGGCCACCAGCCGAGCCCCCCACGCTGGCCCCTCATGGGGCTCCCCCCCGCTCAATTCCCTTGCCCACAGGGTCCCTGGGCCTGGCCTGCACCTGTACAGGGCATCCTTTCCTGCGTCATCACATTGGCTGACCACCTTTTCCCAGGTCTGGGGGATCAGCTTCTTGTCATCGGCAGTCAGCATGGTGCTAGCTGGCAGAGGCAGGCAGGTCGCAATGGCAGCAGTGCCCATGGGGACGCCCTCTTATAGGAGCCAGCACCCCCGCCCTGGGGTTATCTT